TAGCCCAGGCAGAATTCTAACTTGTAATCCTCCTGCCTCAGCCTTCCAAAGTACTGGGATTACAGGTGTGTGCCATCTTGCCCAGCGATCATGATTTTTTCTTTTAGACAGGTATTGCTATGTAGTTCAGTTGACCACTGAACTCACTATGTAGCCCAGACTGGCTTCCAGCTTGCAAAACTTCTGCCTCAGCAACCTAAATGCTGGGATTACAGTTGTGTCTCACCACACTTGGATTACAATGAATTTTTTAAAAATCCTCCTGCACCTTATACCTTTCTTGTATCTGGCTCTCTTATGTTTTGGGTTTGTGTGTGTATGGGAGGGGGGTGACTTTTTGTTTAATTTTGTTTCTAAGCAAAACCCTTCTCTAAAGAAGCTAAAGCTGAACTTTAGCTTCAAAGCACACAGACTCAGGACTAGGAGTATGGGGAATAAACCCAGGAGCCCTAGAGCAGGCACAGTTGTACCTGCAGAACCTCCCTTCTTTTTGCCAGGCTACCCTAACCTAGTCCCAACCTACCCCAGTGGTGCTGAGTCTACTCCATCACTCGCCTACCATAAGACCCCATTGCCATGGCCCCTTTTGAATAAAATCTGCCTGACTCTTCTTAAAAAACAAACAAGGGCTGGCTGAATAGCTCAGTGGATTAAAGTGCCTGCAAGTAGGCAGGGGTCAGGGGTTCAGTCCCAGGGCCTGCTGTGCTGGCCCCGCCCCTGGGGTGCACTGAGACAGCAATCGAGACTAGGTATGTTGGCATGTGCATGTAATCTCAGCTCTTGGGAGGCTGTAAACAGGCAGATCACTATGAGTCCGATCTAGTAGTGAGACCCTGAACACCCTGTAGACCCTTTCCCTAAAATACAAAAAAAAAAAAAAAAAAAAAAAAAAAAGCAAAAACAGAAACAAGCTGGTCATGGTAGTACATGCCTATAATCCCAGCACACAGGGGCTAAATCAGGAGGACTGTAAGTGTGAGACTACACGCAGAAATAATAATTGCTACCTGATTCCAAGGGTCCCCAAAAGAAGGCAGAGGTCAAGCATGGTGGCAAACACTGCAATCCCAGCACTCGAGAAGCTGAGGCAGGACAATCATTGCGAATTCGAGACCAGCCTGGGCGAGAAAGTGAGCTCAAGGCCAGCCTGACTGCATAGGGAGACCCTTTCTTAAAAAGAAGGGAAAAAAAGGAGAAGGCAGAGGAGGAGGACGAGAAGAAGGAGGCAGCGGCAGAGATGCCACATTGGCCTGAAATTCCACAAATACAGCTCTTTTCCTTCACCTGCCTGAAAAACTGAAAAGAGCACAAAGTGAGCTCACTTATTGTTGCTGTTGTTGTTATTAATATTATTTATGTAACTGGTACAGAGTCTCACTACACAGATTGGACTTGCAGTGATCCTCCTGTTTTCAGCCTCCTCAGCGCTGGGATTACAGGCAAGCACCACCATGCCCAGTCTTGGGAGGCCAGCACCCAGAGGACAGGGCTGGCATGGCATGTGGTGTTGGGGATCAAACCCCAGTCCCTGTGCTTGCCTAAGCAGGCGCTCAGTCTGCTGAACTATCTCGCCGGCCCAAGCTCACTTATTATGACAGCACCCTAGACTGTTACTCTATCACTAGGAAAACCAAAACCCAGCAAGGAAAGAGCCCAGACTCTGATTCTGGCCCAAGTCCTACCCACCAGCCTACTGGCCAAGGATCTCCATGAACATTGCTGAAGCTTCAGAAACCAGCCACTCTGCTCCCTGAAAGCCAGCTTGCTACAAGGCTCTGACTTGTTTTGCAGAAGTACAAAAGGCTATGGAAAAAGAAAACTAGAATGAGAAGGTGGGCCCAGATGTGGGGATTCTACACACAGTACCTCTTCTGAGCCGGAATCTGAGCATGGTAGCTGTGTAGATCCACTATTACCAACTTCAACAGATGCAGGCCCTGTCCTTCCTCCCCTGGACAACTAAGTGATAGAGCTGATTTAACCCTCAGGAAGCACTACCATCCGTCAAGAATGGGAGCTGCAACTGTCCCAAGAAAAGAGCTGGTCCTCAGCTGGAGAGATAGCTCAGATGTCTAAGCACCTGCCTGGCAAGTGCAAGGACCTGGGTTCAATCCTGGTACTGTACACTGTGCCAGCCCTGAGCCCACCAAGTCGGCCACCAAAACTGAGCATGGCGGCACACGCCTGTAATCCCAGTGCTGGGGAGGATGAAACAGGAGGATTGCTATAAATCCAAGCTGCATAATGAGATCCTGTACCAAACACATAAAGAAAAAACAAGAAAAGAACTGGTCCTGGCCTGGGAATGTGGCAGGTGTCCAGCAGGGGTCAGCCTGCAGGTGTACTTGCTTGCGCTACTGGGTGAATAAATGAGTAACTGGGGCATGGAGAGAAAGAAAGAGTAAAGATGGGCTTCTGTGGACTGTGTTCTAGCTTAGGATTCCTAGGTCTACTGACTGAATAGACAGAAGGGTCTGGGTCTGGCTCTGGTACTGGATCCCCTGACAATTGAGAAGCACAGAACAGAGGCTCTTGCTCTGGCCCATGGCTGTGGCAGAAAGGATAAGGAACACTGCAATGTAGGAGGTGGGTTGGAGCTCTGAGAAACATCTTCGCCTCCAATTGTGCCAGAGTTCTGCCCCCATGATACTGGGACAAAGGATTCAAGACCAGAGGGGACTTGGATGAAGCAATGCAAATGTATGTTAGGACTCTGGTTTCCAGAATCAGCTCCCTTCCCAAGGCCAACATGGTGACAGACAGGCAGGGTTAAACCCCACAAGATCACAGCGCAGCCTGCTGGGTCAGTGAGTCCCCTGCAATCCTGTGGCCACAGAAAGAGGCACTGAGGTCAAATCAGGCAAAGTAAAGCAAGGCAAGTTTCTTTTAACTCAAGAGCCTGACCCTTCAGCAGAAAGTGTTCAAGGGCCCACGTGGTGAATCAGAATTAGATCTAATTTCAACCATCTGTAATTAACTATCTTGTTGACCTTGTACAAGCCACCTAAACTCTTTCTTTCACTAAAATTTAATGGACACCTACAAAGGGCCAGCCACTGGACCAAGTTCTTGGGATATAACACTGGAAAAACAGGCCATCCTCTATCATCATGGAACCTACAGCTAGAAGGGACTAACATTTAAAAAATAAATATTTAACCAAGGAAAGGTGGCACACTCCTATAATCTGAGCACTTTAGGAGGCTAAGGCAGGAGGACTGCAAGTTCAAGCCCAGCCTGGACAACCCAGCACCTGAAGGAAGGAGCAGTTGATTCAAGTTTGTGGAGAGCCACTGAGAAGTCTGCTTCTGTAGATTCTGTAGAATCACTACAGATCCAAGAAAAACTC